TTCCTCTGGATCCACCACCTACCAAACAACAATAACCTTCTCGCATCCTTCGTATCTATACTCGACGCACTCATGGTCACACTCTGGAGCCCGCTACCTCTTTATAGGGAATCCACTCTGAATGACATCCCATAATTGACACCACTCTGAATGAGGAAGTGAGCTCTCCTGGTTAGGTATGTAATTAGGCAAGTTCTCTTTATTCCATAGAAAAAAACATCTCTTTCCACAGTGTATCGTCGACCTGTAAAGCATTTGTTGTTGCCCTCACGAATCGTCATCTCCCATCGACTAATGAAGTAGCATTAGCTGACTCTTCCTGGAAAGTTGCAATAATTGATGAAATGAGTGTCCTTTAGCGGAATCTTACATGGGATTTTGTAGACCTTCCTCCAAATAAAAAAATAGTAGGGTGTCGCTGGATTTTGCGCACTAAGTTTAACTTTGATGTCTTTTGAACTCAACAAAACACGATTAGCCGATAAAAGTTACTCATGAACATACGAAGTTGAATATTCAGAGACAGTTGCTTTAGTTGTTGAATTAAACATTAATTGGGTCCTACTTTCTCTTGCTGTAAATTTGGATTGGCCTTTGTTCTAACCGGATGTAAAAAATACTTACCCAAATGGGGATCTTACAAAAAAGGTGTACATTTGCCTCCATCCAGGTTTTGACTTTATTGTTCCCCAGGAACAAGTGTGTCGACTGCAGAAGTCCCTCTAAGGACTGAAACAATCCTTAAAAACCTGGTTCGACAAGTTCACAAAGACGTTAATAGGTCATGTTTTTTCACAGGCTGAATTAGATCATTTTTTTTTCTTTCGACATTCTTCCAGTGGTAAATCTGCTATCATTATCGTCTATGTCGACAATATCTTTGCTACTTCATTTGAAATGAAGTACTTGGGGTCACTTCGGTACTCCTTAGGCATGGAAGTTGCTCGATCATTTCAGGACATTTATTTATCTATTGACAGAGAATAACTACCGATAGGTCCTGATAAGAAATTAGCTATTGTTCTCAAAGTAGTTACGGTGAGCAAGATTCACTACCAATGACTTGTGGGAAAATCATTTACCTTAGTCATACTCGCCCCGACATTTGTCATGCAGTAGGTATTGTGAGTCAATTTATTCATGCTCCTTATGAGCACCATCTCCGAGTTTTGCACATGATCCTTCACCGCTTAAAAGATACACAGGGCTCAGGTTTGTTTTTCTCGAGCCACACCTCTCATTCTATTGTTATTTTACATAAATGCGGATTGGGTCGGGTCTATCCATGATTGACGATCCACCTCATGATATTGCTCATTTAAAAGCAAAAAACAGTCGGTTGTGGCTCGAAATAGTGCTGAAGCCGAGTTTCGCTCTATGCCATTGGGTATCTGTGAAGCTCTATGGTTACACATCAGGCTTCGGGAATTGTGTATGCTAGTATTTGCTCCTCTCTAGCTGTTCTGTAATAATAAAACTGTCATTAGTATTGCTCATAATCCGGTTCAACATTATCAGATCAAACATGTGGAGATTGGCAGACACTTCATTAAGGAGAGGCTCGATTTAATGGGGGTTTGTTTTTTAATGTGTCTCCTCTAAACTCGTGTTCGGCTCGTTCGTTAAGTAAATGAGTCGAACACGAACAAGTTTTTAAAGCTCAAATTATAAATGAGCCGAACACGAGCAGGTCTTTGTTTGCTCGTGTTCGGTTCGTTTTAGCTCGAAAAAAAAATGTATATATAATTATTTATATAAAAACATATTACTCATATTATTTATATATTAATATATTATATATATTTATATTTAAGTTTAAATCGTAACTGCTCTTGTGGTAATGTGGTTATGCACTTTGTTTTGTATACATTTAGTTAAAGTTTGAATCCAACACTCAACATCTTTTTTTCAGTTTAATTTTAACGAGTCAATTTTGAGTCAAACACGAGCAAGAATATTTAAATTGAGCCGAACACAAGCACACTGTTCACGAGCCTTTTTTCGAACACTAGCCGATTTCGAACACAAACATTTTCGAACGAGCCGAACACGAACCAAGCCTGAGCTCGCTCAAGCTCGGCGCGTTTACAACCCTATTTAGGGGAGATTTGTGTTCAATTTGTCTCATCTAAGGATCAATTAACGAATATTCTTATCAAGAATTTTCCCTGGACTTTGTTTTATGACTTCAAATTCAAGTTGAACACAATGGATATCTATGTTTTAACTTGATGGGAGTATTGGAATTATTAGTCTAATTATTAGACTAGTTATGGTTACAATTATTATTAGCTTTATTTGCTTTTATTTGATTCATTTTTTTCGATTTCTATATTGGTGTATTTTCTAGTTAGGTCTATTTCCAAAATTTTGTCTTTCTTATATTTGGATATTGTAATTTGTCTTTATACCTCACTTGCTATCAATAAAGGGTATGCAGCCCAATTCTCTAAAACCGACAGTAGTATGTATGGAAATGCCCCTTTTCTCAATCCATTTATAGAGTCATTTCATTGTAATAATCAGTTAAGATTTCACTAAATTTCCATTTATAAGCATCTGAAAGTTAATTGCAAGCTGAATGTCATTGTTGCAGTCTATCAAGCCCGAGTTGACGGTGGAGGTTGAGCCAATTACAGACCCCTTTGGCCCATCCATTGTAGATGAAGAGTTGGAGGCCATTGTTGTGAGGTCATTTTTCTATTAGATTCAATTACTCTTCTGCATGGTTTGGGTTTATTTATTTTGTATAACACATTTTTCATTAGAATATTTACATGAACACGCTTCAATTCTTATCTACATACATATCTAAAACCTAAACTTCAATTTTTGTATATATGTCACATTACCTATTCATGAAAGGTGTCTTTCACTTTTAAAAGTTGAAGTAATGGTATTTTTGATATGATGTGAAATATTGGGTGGTATAAATGTAAAAATTGATGTCAAGGTGTTAGATTTGTAAATACATGGGAATTGAGTGGTATGTGTAAATCTTTCTTTTCATTATTATGTATTGGACAGTAAGGAGACATTACCAGGGGGCTTGGCAGTAAATAGGAGAAGAGCAGAGAGAGGCTTGTCACAACTGAAGGTTCAATACAAAATTTCCTCTTTCTAGCTCTAATTTTAGGAAATATGCTTAGAAATAATAATGATATTTTGGTGCTTTTGTGTTTTAGATTGAAGTAGTAGATTTACTGCCTGATTCCACATCAGGACAGAAAATCAGTTCCTCCGCCTTCAGAAGAATTGAAGCAGAGAATGGTATTCAACAGCAGCAGAACCAACAGAAGATAATTACTATAAAAAATTCTACAAAATTATAAAAAGACAACAGCTGGAAACGCATGCGATTATAGTTCATGTCAAATGTTATATGTCAGATACATAAGCAAAACTCGTGTTTGGCTACCGATTAGAAACGAAGCTTATTTTCAGGTTCATTCATTTCAATTTTCAACTAATCTGCTTTCAAATCTGCGTTTCACTTTTTCTTCATTTACACAAGTTTCAACTGTTTTTTTGCTCTTTCATGTACCACAACATGATACCGTGTTTCATGTTATTAGCTGAAATGCTTCGAGACCACGGGTTGGCTCGTAGTTGATCAGCTTATAACAACTCCAATTAGCAGTGAATTTAGACATATTGACAAAAGGTTAGAAAGGAAATGTGTTATGAGAAGATCAGAAGATTAGCATAACCTTCTCAAAGGTCTAGCTTGACTAATCTACTTTGGAAGTATGAAAACAATTCTAAACCAGCATTATTGTTGATTGTTCCTTTTATTTTACTAATAAGTTCAATCAATGTTGACACATATTTCTTCTCTATCATTCTTATTTAGCTTCACTATCCATTTCTTTGTCTTTATAAGCTCCTGTTTTTATGTCCACCACACTAAATATTTACTTTTAACGAGCTCACTCTCCACCATAATACCTCCATCCACATTGTTACATCATTCAATTGAGCATCGACATTTTGATGAATTCTTTGATCTTAGCCTTACAATCACCTTACAAAAAGCTAAAATAAAGCATAGTGCCTATTTATAAATGGAAAGTTGGGGGAGGATGGAATGAAGAAATAAATTTGCGACTTTATATGTTTTTTTAAAATTTTATCTAAGTGATTGTCATTTGTGAAATTTTTGATGTAAAATCATATATTTTATCGACCATAATTAATTTAGCTCTTTGATAACTCTTTTAGCGCATATATTTGCAAAATATGTAATAGATAGAAACAGAGGAATATTAGTAAGTTCAAAGTGGGGATTGGAAATGAGGGAGGCTATGGGGGTTTCTATTAGGAGGATTATGATTTCAAAACATGGGATCTTAATAAAATTTAATAGATGTTGAAGTTAATCTATCTTTTTATAAGGTTTTATCATCATCATCTTATCACGACAAAAACATAAAATTACAGTTTTGACTTTGTTCAGCTTTTTCTTTTAATATAAAGTTGTCTGCAACAAAATGAAAAATAACAAGGGGTTGTTTGATAAATTCTTTAATATGATTTATCATTGGATTTACTAAATCTAGTCAAACATTAAAATGCAGAAATTTTGTTGCATTTAGGGAGTCTAATTTTACCTTAATTCGGCTTAAATCCTGATTTACTAAATCCTAGGATAAGGTTGATTTAGCTGATTTATTAGATCCTAGTAACCCTAATTCCTACTTCAGCCAAACAACATCCAAATGTTCCTTTCATCATGAAATGGACAGAGATGGAGGTGGTCCATTTGAACGCTTAAATAATTTATTTAGCTCTCCTCAGCTTGTTGGGATACAAAGAAAACAGTCGACTCATGAATCCTATTGACCCTTTGACTGCTTGAACTAGAAATTGGAATAATTTTCTAATGATCAACATATTTAGTTAAATTAATTATTATTTAAGCATTTTTTTAAAATTAGGTTTGTTTTTTTGTTTAAGCTTATAGATTTGTTATCATGTTGATCCTGATTGTGTTAATCAATTGTTTACTCGAAGCCTTCAATTTCGTCTATCAAGCTTGATGGTGAGTTTCTCAGGGAGCTGTCCATGTGATAGTGAAATTTTTTTCCCAGTACATAATACATCGGTGTCGTAACTGCAACACTTAACATTGAGCCAAGAGCACCCCAACTCTCGGAGATGACGCCTCAACACCCATTTCAGGTTCAGAACTAGATAACACGACACTACAACTTTCAAGGATGTAGAGCCCCTTTGGGGCGCCCTTGATGCCACCATCGCGATGCCTTGACGGCAATAAACAACTTTAGATAGTTCTCACTTAAAAATTCTAGTTTGTTGATAGGAAGGTAAAGGATTTCAATTTTCTCTTTTGTGCAAAGACGATGATAGTAGTGTCCTCGATTTCCAAGGCATATTGAGAATTGAGTGTAGTGTAATTTATACTATTCTCCTCATTTTTCTTCATAATGAATTTTTTAGCATGATGACTCTGTCATATTTTCTCGTTCTCAGATTTTTCCGCTTTAAATTGAACGTTTCTATATTTTCTTATTTTGTGTACTTTTGTTCAAAATAATTTTATTTTGAATCTCGAGTATGTTTCTCAATTTAACATCTCCTAACAAGATGGTCTTGAATTGCCTTAGTTAATCTTTATATCCCACATCTACACCTTGGCTTAGCCAAACCCAAATACTAAAGAGGTTTCATATTTCTTTCCTACATCTAATGGACTCAGACCTGTTCCAATAGAAGAGGGTTCCGTCACATAATATTATTCATAATTTCATTCCTTACTATGACAATAAATATGAATTTTATCTGCACCATTTAGGGTAAAAAGAAAAAATAATCGCACAATAATTGAGAGCCGCAAAAATTCTTTACAAATTTCCCTTAAAATAGATCTAATATTTACACTATCTGTCCATTATTCTGCATCATTATCACCATAATCAACTTCATCGATGTCCTCAATATTCCTTATCGTGAGTCATTGTCTGCTCACCTACCTTCGCTGTATTTAGTTTGCTGATCTCACAGGGCCAATTCAATTTTGACAAAACTACAAACAACTCTTGCAAAACCAATGAATTACAATAATATTTTAATATTAAATATATATATGTTTGTTATTTCAATAAATCATTTTGAACTACATTATTTCTTCTTTTTTTTTTATTTGAAAAAAAAATACCATAATTTTTCAGCCTTGTTGCCCATCATATTTTCCTTCTTTTTTATGTAAAACCATACTAAAATTTCAGTGCTATTTCTGAATTTAATCAAGACTAAATTGCATGAAAAACAAAAACAGAAGGAAAGCACCATACAAAAGCATATATAGAAGAGACGAGAGGCATCAAATACAAACACACATAAGATTAAAAGTTCATGTCAGATATAATTTATATATTACATATTTTCACTACCAATTTGCACACTCAGACTTCCATCCCAACTAATCTGCTAGAAACTTCTTTAACTTCAGTAACTCATCATTTCTGGATTGTTCACAGTTTTGGATCTGCCAATATTTGCAACATGATACTGTGCTGCATATTTGTAAGAAGGTCCTTCCATGGCCGTCACTGGAGGTTCATTCAGAAAAGCCCAATTGCTTCTAGTCCACCTGCAAAATCAAATAATTTACATTTATTTACATATACACCGCCATTAATTCCTATATATTCACATATCTAAACCCAAAACTTCAATTTTTACATATCTTCTGCCTGGCCCTTACCTATTCATAAAAAGTTGTATTTCACTAGATTTTTTTGTAATAGTTTTTTTTTTTTTTTTTGGCTTTTGACTAAATGTGCTCATTTATTAATAAGCACATTTTTTTTATTTTTTTATTAAAAATTTAATGCATTGCTCGATCAGCAATTCACCATGGGCAACAGCCAGCCAGCCAAGTGGCCTGCCTAACCCACTTTAGGCCTGACTTCAACTGTAGGCATGCACATTATTTCCCTTTTTTAAGATATTTGAAATCATTTTTTTTGTTTTCTAGACTAAATAATATACTTTTGGATCCCAATAAAATCTATAGAATCGACTTTGATCCAATTTGAAGAGTTTATGCTACAACTTTTTATTAATAGTCGCAATCGATGAACCAACTTCAAGAATGGCTAAATTTATCATTGAGTTGATTTTGTTGGGTTCACTATGAGAAAAATATTCAAATTGACTTCTAAGGAATCGCTGCACCTTAATATATATATATATATATATAGTCCCTCCTT